AAGCACCCTTCCGGCCCTGATATTCCACATGTTAACATTCCTTCTAGCTCTGACACTCGGTGTTCTAAGGTACCTTCTACAATGCCATGAGGCTGCCTTGACCTGGATTCTTCCCTTCTCTCTCCACTGGGGCAACAGAGGAACCTGTACCCTTGCTCCAGGGGAGGCCTCTGCCCCCTGTGCTGTCTGCACAGCCACTGAACAGGACAGAGAACAGATCGCCATTGTATACCTCTGTGCATCACTCCCCCCGCTCCGGGGTCACACACCCACACAGCCTCAATCTCACCTCCCAAACTCCCCAATCTCCAGCTCCTTTCTCCGGCCTCAAGTCCCCAGGGACCTCAGTTTCCTCTAGCCTGCATTCCACACACATCCCTCTTGGCCCTGACTCCCCAACCCGCCCCACACCCCCACTTCAAAACAGGAAGCACCTGGCTCTGGCAAGGTGGCCGGGGAACGCTGGCCACTGTGTGTCCTGCCCCAACGTACTGGCCTGGGCATTCTTCCAACCACCCCGGAAAGACAACGCCCCTCCCCCAAGAGAGGGCTCCCAACCCATGTCTCCATCGGAAGCTTCATGCCTGGCCTGGCAAAGTTCCTATGGTCGGCAAACTTCCACCAACCCTGTACTGCCAGAGCTGATTCCCATTAACCCTTTACTGGCAGGAATGTAACCAGGTAGATGCCATGGTGTCCATATAAAATCACAGATCAGAAAGTGAGAACGGTCCTCACGTGGTCATATGGTCCAATTTCCACTACCCCAGAAAAGTCTAAAAGTATTAACCGTCTCCTTTTGGCAAAACTGACCACTGATACATGACCTGCCCAAGTAACCTAGCCAACAAAGTGAGAAAGGGGTGCGGGGAGAGGGGCAGAACTCAGGCCTCTGAGTATCTGGTAGGACCAAGGAGGCCTCTCAGGTTCAGGCCTGCATCAGTGTTACCGGCTTTACCTTGAAGATTTGCCCTATGTGTATGAATATGTTTGAAATAGGCATAGACCAGCACTGTCTAGAAAGCAGGATACCTGAAGCTCTGTCTCAGCTCCTCCAATAAACTGTGTGAGTGAAGTCATGTAGCCTAAGAGGGATTCACTGACTTCATCTGTAAAAGGGGATCATAGAATACTAGCCCCATACGCCCCATAACCTCGAAGGTCCCTTCCAGTAATCCTAGAATTCTATTAAACTAGTCCATTAAAAGAGACTGTGTGCTCTAGTATATACCACAGCTTTCTCATCTACTTAAAAAGATGTTGGGGGGCTAGCGGGAAAAGGTGAGTTGGACTAGAGCAGGGCTAGGGAACTTGCAGCCTTGAAGCCACATATGGCCCTCTAGATCCTCAAGTACAGCCATTTGAATGAATCCAAAATTCATAGAACAAATTTGTTGTGACGTTGGGATCCAGTCAAAGGGCTGCACCCAAAGGATCTAGAGGGCCACATGCGGCCTCGAGGTTCCAGGTTTCCCACCCCTGGACAGGCTTTCTGATCACAAGGGCAAATTCACTGCTAGAGGCCATGGTTCCCAGAAAGGATTCTGGATAGGGAGCCAGGAAACTTGGGTTCTAATCTAAGCTCTGCCTGTAGTAGCAGGAATAGTAGGAGCAGGAGTAGGAGTAGTAAGAGTAGTAGTAATGGTGGTGGTGGTGGTGGTGGTATTGGTGGTAGTGGTGCTGGTGGTGGTGGTGGTATTGGTGGTGGTGGTGGTGGTATTGGTGGTAGTGGTGCTGATGGTGGTGGTGGTGATAGGAGGAGGAGGAGGAGGAGGAGGAGTAGCAGTAGTGGTGGTGGTGGTGGTGGTAGTGGTAGTAGTAGTAGCAGCAGTAGTAGTAGTAGTAGTAGCAGTCGTTGTAATGGTGGTAATGGTGGTGGTGGTGGTGGTGGTGGTGGTAGTGGTAGTAGTAGTGGCAGCAGTAGTAGTAGTAGTGGTGGTAGTGGTAGTAGTAGTAGTAGTGGTAGCAGCAGCAGCAGCAGCAGCAGGAAGGGGAAGAGGAGTATTAGTAGAAGCAGTAGTAATAGCTAGCCTTTATATAGTGCTTTAAGGTTTGTGTGACTTTGGGCAACTGATGTCCTCTCCCCGGGCTTCACTTCCCGCTTCTATAAAAGGAGGCAGTTGGACAAAGTGACCCCCAGACGATCTTCTGGCTCTGACATTCCATGTCTCCATCTGCTAACATTCTGCACAGTAAAGTCCCTTCCAGCCTTAACATTCTATGATTCGAGGAAAAGCCACCAAGACATAAATAAAGTCAATGCCTCACCCAGGCACCAAAATAATTACTACCTAATTACTATCAATTACAAAGCAGCACTTCAAATTACTTGAAGAACAGACAAGCTGCTTTGCCAGTTAATCAAACTGAGTTTTCCTTGCCCCATAGGAAGCCATGGAAACAAGCCTTCGCTCCCATTGCCCATGCCCCCAAAGAAGGCAGCTGGCGGTCTGGGCAACAATCAAGCGATGGGCCTGACGAGGAAGCACTGTCCTCGGCCTTTTCCCCACGTCCAGTAACTGTTGGCCTTTCCCAGCGGGCTATGTTGGGAGGGATCCAGCACTCATTCGCTGTCAGCCATATGGTACCACACTGCAATGCAGAGGAGCTGGGTTCTAGTCCTGGCTCACTATGTGACCCTGGCCAAGTCACTTATCTAGGTCACTGGGTCCCAGTCCCCCGCTCTGTAAAGGATGGTAAGAGACAACGTGATGGCTGAGGTCCATTCCAAATCCAAAATGCGATGCTTCTGACCTTAGAAGCCAGTCTTTGATGAGTGAGACACTCCTGCAGGTGTGGAAGACTTAGCAGAGAGATTCTTTCCACCATTCTATAGAACTTCCAAGGCCTTGAGGCTGATTTACAAAGGCAGGAGATGAGGTGGCCTGGAGCCTCTACAGCAGGGACAGGAGCCAACGCTGGACCCACTGGCATGTCAAACTGAAGAAGGACAGGGGAGCTCTAATCTCCTCCCTACAGGGGGACAAGCCCCTCCTGGTTCTTGGCTATTGATTATGAACCTTCCGGGGGCGTTCTAGTCACTGCCTGTTGAGGGCAGTAAGCTTCTTGGGCCCCTATTCCAAGGCCATTGTGGGAGAACGTGATCAGTGTGGAACGGCACATCAGGGGTCAGACAGGGCTCTGGTTTCAATCCCAGACCTGCTCAGGAGGTAAATTTAGGAAGAATTGGGGCAGACCAGCCAGCATCTACTCTAACCAAAAGCTGGTGAGGAGACTGAATTTACAATATGGCCTCCGTCCCCAACCAGTCTACCTGGGGACCAACGGAAGGGGTGTTTAACCTAGAAAAGAGAAAACTAGGGGGGTCATCAAGAATCTGAGGGATGAGGGATTTGGCTTGTTCCATTCGGCCCCAGAGGAAAGCGCTTGGAACAATGCAAGAGAAACACAGAATGGCTCCAAGAACTTGACGAGGTAACTCGGGAGCAGCAAAGAGGGAAATGGAAGGAAAAATTCTCCTAACAATGAAAGCCGGTTGGAAGCAGTCGGGCTGCTCCAGACCAGAGTCAATGCTCCCTCCTGAGACACTTTCAAATAGAAACTGGATGAGAGACTGAAAAATGGGGAGGGTAAAGAGAGGGAGGGAGAGACACACAGAGATAGAGTGAGAGAGACAGAGAGGGGAAGGAGAGGAAAGGGGTGGGAGGGAAGAGAGAAACAGCAGAAGTCTCCAGGTCAGAGTTTCAGATGCAGTTGGGGGAAGGGTGAGGGCCAGTAATGTTTAATCACGTGGGAGGGAAACCAGGAGCCTCGGCTGGCAGTGAGTCGCGAAGGCAGGAGACAATGAAAGTCTATTGTTCTCCACAAGGCCATAGAATGTTTGTGCCGGAAAAAATCTTAGACCGTAGAAGGTTAAAATACAAAACGCTAGACCTGAAAGGGACCTCAGAGCACAGAATGTGAGGACATAGAACTCGCAGCCCAGAAGAGACCTTAGGACTCAGAATGCCAGAGTTCATCAGGAACTTAGAACCTAGAACATCAGAGCTAGGGGCTTCCACAGTATTTCCAACCTTCAACGGACAAGGGGAGAAATTTAGGTCAGAACAGGCTCTGGGATCTGTCCAAGATAATAGAGGAGGGGAACACAGAGCCAATCAACACTGGACTGTAAGCTACCTGAGGGCAAGTTCCATAGCTTATCTTTCTCTTTATAGAAACTAGCACAAGTCTAGGCATAAAGGAAATACTTAATAAAATGAATGAGAATTCAGAAATGAAAATAAGATTTTTTTTTAAATAACTGCCACCACCACCCCCAAATGATAAGTAAATAAAATGAGTAAGTGAATGAGAGAGGACAGGACAGATACAGGGGAGGGGAAAGGCTGGAGACACCAGGAAAGAGCCGAAATGACTCAACACAGAATTTCAAGGCCACAGCATCTTTCAGACCTCAGCCCACCTTTCTAACATCATTTCTCACTGCACTCAAATAGACACTTTCTACTGTTACTACCCGAGGGACAAGCTCTTCCTATTGCTGCCCTCCCCCACCCCAAACACAGTGAGTGCCCCCTGCCTTTGGAAAATCAGCCCCCTTGCTCTGTCCAAGTCCTGCTAAATCTGCAAGATTCAGCTGGAATCATGCCTCCTCCAAGAAGACATCCCAGGCTCTCCTGCCCACTGACATCCCTCTCCTCTGAACTCCTATAGTTATAATTTTATTGTATTCTGCAATGCTTCTACTGTGGGAGACTGTACGTTCCTTATGGGCCAGGACCATGCTTTCTCCTATTGTACCTCTCAAGCATCAGGGGACAGAATGCTGGAATTAGTCAGGAGGCCTGGGTTCAAATCACAGCTCAGGTACTTTTTACATGACCTTGGGTAAGTCACTTCTCCTTCTCCTGAGTTCCTCCTCTATTAAATGAGAAGGATGGATCTTTAATGTCCCTCTGGAATCTAAATCTATCACCTAAGACAGACTGGTGAGGGGGAGGAGAGGGGGAGGAGTTGCCTTCCTAGACGGCCCTTACCTCCGACACATTGACCCGGCCTTCTTGGAAGGAGCAGTCTGCAGCATTGTGGGTGCAAATGTGTCGGTATTTGCACCAGTGACAGGGGAAGGATCCATTCACACAGGACAGGCAGCTGCAGAGAAAAAGGAGAGAAGGCAGATAGGCGTGAATACTCACTCCTCAGACAGCCCCAGCCTCTGCACCACCCCTTCCACCTTCAGGCCTGCTCACGGGGCACACGAGCCAGCCCAGACTCCTCCAGAGATGCCCTCTCCACCATCACCCACAGTCCTCACATTCATTTCTGACTCTTACTTTAGCTCTAAGTTGTAGCAGAGGGCAAATTTGATTTGGAGCCTAAAGGCCTGGGTTCAGATCCTGAATCTGCTTTGTTTGCCCTGTATGACTCTGGGCAAGTCACTAAACCTCCCTGGGCGTCAATTTCCTACTCCGCAAAATGAGAGGTCTGAGGTAAATGATATTATAGACTTCTTCTGGTTTAATATCCTATGATCTTACTCTAAGATTACCAGGGTCAGAGTGGTGTGGGGCAGGGGTTTGCGGTAGCCAGGGTGGGTATCTCATACTCGCTGAAATGTGGCTAAATTCACATTTCATCCAGGCCTCCAACTTACCCAAAATACTCAACCCTGAACCTTTTTCCTTCCAACCCCTTGGGGAGGAGACAAAACTGAAAAACTGAAAAACTGACTGGAACATTAACTAACCAACTGTGAGATTAGAGAATCACAGATCTAGACTTCAGAGGTCACCGAGTTCAACTCTTCAATCTACAAAGGAGGAAAATGAATCCTAGAAAGGGTGATTTGTCCCAGGTGATACAAGTAATCTCAGAAATGAGATTACTCCGAGCCTCAGAGCCAGGGATTTTCCATTGTACCATGATACCAGTTTCTTCATTTGTAAAATAAAGAGGGGGCTTTTAAAAATCTAAACCCAATGTTCAATATTCCATGCTAGAAGTCTATGTTAGAATTAACATGTTTTACAAAAAAACTTGGGAAGACTGAATGAACTGATGCAAAGTAAAGTAAGCAAATAAGGAAAACCAGGAAATGATATCTACACAACGAATACAACAACGTAACTAGAAAAAACAACAGTAACAGAAATTGAATACTAACTAATTATAACGATGAAGATTGTCCCTTAAGAAGAAAGAAAATGACAGCGTGCCCCTCTCCCTTCTTTACACAGGTGGGAGATTATGGGTGTGGAACCCTGCATACACTCAGACTTGTTTGGTTTTGCTAAGCTAAGCTGCCTTTTTTTCCCCCTCTTTTTTCTAGTTTTTGTTACAAGGGATGGCTCTCTGGGGAGCGATATATTTGGAATGAAGGTGATAGAAAAATGAAACATATCAATTTACCATCTTTAAATGAATTAACATGCTTTTGTGCTTTCCAAATAAACCACACTATATACTAACATTCTATGTTCATAGGTCTTTTCTTGTTCTGATATATTCTGAGTTATATGTTCTAATAATCTCTGGTCAAATCTCCCTTCCAGCTCTGACTTTTACAACTCTAAGCATAAAGAACTATACAAGTGTTAATGTGTATTATTATGGGTGGATTCTCCACCCCTCCTAAGTGGGCTGAGTGGGGACTCTGACGTGCTATTATGGAAAAGAGATGGGGGTGGTAATGAAAAAACCAACTCGGGTCAACGTGAGTCAAAACAAGAGCCTGTTGGAGGCAGGGTCAAAGCTCAGGCCTCTGAAGAAACCCCAGCCTGATTCACAAAGGGAATCAAGAGCAGACCCTGGGCCTGGTCACCAGCAAGGACTGGGCTCTCTTTCTTTCTTGAACAATGGCCCATGTGGAGACTGCCCCCTCACAGGCTGCCCCTCCCTCGCTCCCCAATCCCGGCTCTTATTCTTAATCAGCCACCCATCAGGGGCTGAGGTTAGGAGGTCAAAGTCAGATGTCCAGCTGCCCACCTGACAGCATGAAGCTGCTCCCCAAGAGGCCAGGGGCTGATGGGGCCAAGATGGGGGGAGGGTGGGATGATTGCCAAAGCTAATATGAATATTCAGGGAAGGCAGAAGAAGCCTGAATTATGGAACTGTCCTATTCTCTTCTCCAGGATGGGAATGTGAAGACTGAGCAGAACAGGCACTGCTATGTGCTGGCATTATTATCAGGGGGCATGAGGAAGGGGGACAACCTGAGCCGAAAGCTGTGTGTATTACTCAGTCAACATATCTGCTCATTAAGTACCGTCTATGCGCCTCTTCTGTTCTAGCTGACAGGAGAAATACGAGGGAAGGGCAGGAAGGTGTTACAGTGAAAAGTCAGGAAGACCCGAGTTCAAATCTAGCCTCACACACTTACTTGCTGTGTGACCCTGAACTTTTAAGACACTTCACCTCTGTCTGCCTCAGTTTCCTCATCTGTAAAATAGGGATGATAATAAGAGTACCTACCTACCAGGGTTACTGTGAGGATAAAATGAGATAATATTTATATAGTGCTTTGCAAACCTGAAAGCTTTATATAACTGTTAGCAGTTATAATTTTATTGTTGGTGGTGGTGTCGTTCACTCAGTTCAGTCACATCTGACTCTTCATGACCTCGTTCTGGGGTTTTCTTGGCAAAGATACTGGAGTGGTTTGCCATTTTCTTCTCCAGCTCATTTTACAGATGAGGAAACTGAGGCAAACAAGGGTAAGTGATCTGCCCAGGGTCACACAGCTAGTAAGTGTCTAAAGCTGGATTTGAACTCAGGTCTTCTTGACTCCAGGCCTGGTGCTCTATCCACCATGACACCTACTTGCCCAATCATCATCATCATTATTACTTGTTTAAAAAAAAAAAGGACTGGATTTCTGGGTAGAGCACCTAGGTTTGAGGCTGGCTCAAACTCTGCTGGTGGCAGACTGCTCAGGGCCTCAGTTTGCACACTGTAAAATAAGGAGGCTTACTTTGAGGTTCCACCTTCCACCGATCAGACTGGCTAAGACGACAAAATAGGAAGATGTTAAATGGAGGAAGGGCTATAGGTACTAGTACATTGTTGGTGGAACTGTGAATTGTTCAGCCATAATGGAACTATGCCCCAACTCTGCACACCCTTTCACCTAGCTATATCACTATTAGGCCTATAACCCCAAAAAGATCAAAGAAAGAGGAAAAGGACCTATATGTACAAAAATATTTATAGTAACTCTTTTTGTAGTAGCCAAAAATCGGAAGCAAAGGGGCTGTCTTCCTAGTGGGAAACGGCTAAACAAATTACGGTATGTGAATGTAATGGAATATTATTGGGCCATAAGAAATGACAAAGAGGACAATTTCACAAGGAACTGGAAGGACCTATTTGGACTAATGCAGAACTAGGGGAACAATTTATACAATGACAACAACATTATAGAGAAAAACAACTTGGAAAGACTTCAGAGGTCTGATCAATGAAGTGATACCCCATGAGGCTGGAGGACTGGAGATAAAACACTCTACTCACCTCCTGTCAAAGAGGTGATGAACTTAAAACAAAGAGGGAGACAGAAATTTTCAGGCACAGCCAACGTGGGGTACTGGCTTATAGGACTGCGCATGCCTCTTTTGAAGATTTCATTTGTGGAGAGAGGGGGGAGTGGCTGTTATCAAGTGAGAGGGAGCAGAATGTGGGACAGATTATAAATCCATGTGATATTAAACAAATTTATTTTTTCGAAAAGTAAAAAGTGGAAAAATAAAATAAAACAGAGCCAGGATTGTGCACATTCTCAGGATCCACTGATGTGCTGGTTAGTGTTACTGAACTTTTTTTCCTTTCTTTTAAGTCTGTGTTGCAAGGGATCGCTCTCCACGGATGGGAGGAGGGAGGGATAGATTTGGAAATGAAGGTCATGGAAAAACAAAAGATTTCAACACTTTTTTTAAAAGGTCCCTTTGAGCTCTAAATTCTGATTCTAGTTAGGAGGCCAGAACCGGCACCCAAATCCCTCCCCTTCCAGAATCCTCCCCTGACCACTCCAGCCTAATTATCTCTTTCTTTTTCAGCGCACCACTCATCTGACAGTGTGGGAGGCATGAACAGATGAGGGTGAAAAGTGCTGGCCCTGGAGTCATCGGTCCAGAGCTAAGCTGATGCCTCTGCAATTTATTAACTGCATGATCATAGGCTAGGCTCTAAAGTTCTCTTGTGCCTCAGTTTCCTCATTTGTAAAGTAAGGACGTGAAACGAGGTCTGAGGTCTTGCCGATCTACATTCCTGTAATCTCATGACACTTGCTTACAGACTTTACCTGATATAGTCAGACACCCTGATGAGCCTACAAAAAACAGCTGGGGAAAGTCAGTGCTAGATGTCAACGGCTGGAATAGGGAGATGAGAAACACAAAGTGGCAGGGGATGGAGAGAAGAAAAGAGAGGCAGAGGAAGAAAGTATGCCCTGCCTGGGATCCAGAGGGAGCCAGGGAGAGAGGAGATGTGGAGACAGGAGGAACATAAGGACCAGGGGAAAAAATGAGAAAGGGAGTCACACCAGATCCTTCACTGTATCCCTTAGTACCTAACACAGCATGCCTGCATCTAGCAGGGACTTAATAAATCTTAATACAGTGCCTGTCCATAGTGATCATTTAATAAATGCTTATTGATTGATTAATTTGATGATAATATAGCAACATAAACAATGACACAGGGACATCTCCAAAAAGTGACAAATGATGCGACAGATACAGTCTATGTTCTAAGGTAGGGGTTCTTAGTCCTGCTAGTCTGGGGAAGCCTAAGGAAGCCTTCCCAGAAGGTTTTTAAACACATGAAATAAAATACATATGATGACAAAGGAAACAAATTATACTGGAAGTTATCAAAATATTATAAATGTATAACTTTGTGTTTTAATATAATATTTTATATAAAATAATTTTTTTAAAAGTTCACAGATCCCAGGTTAAAAATCCCTGTTCTTCACTATTTGACAAAAACTGCTCGGAAAACTGGAAAACAGTATGGCAGAAACTAGGTATAGACCAACATCTTATATGTATACCAAGATAAGGTCAAAATGGGCACATGATTTAGACATAAAGGGTGATATCATAAGCAAATTAAGGGAGAAAGGAATAGTTTACCTGTCAGATCTATGGAGAAGA